TGCCCGTTGAAGTCTGCCCCAATCACCACTCTCTCCCCTCTGGGAATACTCTCCATCACCTCATCTAACTCACTCCAGAATCTCTCCTTCTCTTCTAACTCACACCCTACTTGTGGAGCATAACCACTGACTACATTCAACATTACCCCTTCAGTTTCCAACTTCAAACTGATCACCCTGTCTGACACTCTTTTCACCTCTAAAACATTCCTCACGAGCTCCTCCTTCAGGATCACTCCTACCCCATTTCTCTTCCTGTCCACACCATAATAAAACAGTTTGTATCCCCCTCCAATACTACGCACTTTGCTACCCTTCCACCTGGTCTCCTGCACACACAGTATATCTACCTTCCTTCTCTCCATCATGTCCACCAGCTCTCTACCATTCCCTGTCATTGTGCCAACGTTAAGAGTCCCTATTCTCAGACCTATACTCCTGCCTTTCCTCTTCTCTCTCTATCTACGACTCCTACCTCCGCTCCTTCTTTGACCAACAGTAGTCCAATTTCCACCAGCACCCTGTAGCAGCACTGGTGGCAGTCGTTGTTAACCCGGGCCTCGACCGATCCGGTATGGAATTCGCACTGATGATTTGCATGTTTTTACGCCGGATGCCCTTCCTGACACAACCCTCTCTATTTATCCGGGCTTGGGACTGGCACAGAAGTCACTGGCTTGCAACCCCTGTGGCTAGATGTGTTGTCCAGTAATTTTGTGTTAACCTAAATTACTGCCAAGCATTTTCTGAAATGATTTGCACTGGTTTAGGTCTAACCTCCAGGCACCCAGTGGTTTTGATATAAAATTAATCTGTGGCAACTCAGAGTTTGAGATTACCAATACACTCAAATACAGTCATTAAGTACAACATTGACTTTACTTGACTGTACTTTGAGTATGTTTTATGCTACTTTATACTTTCACTCTGCTTCATTTCAGGGAGGAATACTGTACTTTCTACTCTTCTAGACTTACTCAGTAGCTACAGTTACTGGTTACTTTGATTTAACATACAAAGCATGAACTCAAATATGATGCCAATGTTAAATAGAATGTATTATTAGGCATTCAAGGTCCTGGAAAGCTATGCTGGGGCTTTTGAGAGGTACTGTACTAATAATGATGAGACTGTTCCACTATAGAACAGGCCAGAATACCCAGAAAAACAATTTGTATTTCTACTTAATGTGATCTGAGCATTTATTTCTCTAGTGAAGTTGGTGAAACATTTTAAACTATCCATTCTTGTACTAGTAGGGGTGGGCATGGTGATACTGACATCTTTACTGGGACTATCAGTTTCCATCAGTCTCCAATACTCTGTCACTTGATACCAATAAGCAAAATGTGTTAAAAATGCCCTTTTCTTACACTGAATAGCTCTAGACTTGAAGCTGAGGGGCACATTCCTCTCAGCTTCTCCAGTGGCCTTGGCTAAAAAGGTCCGACTTCCCTTTAGCGTCTTCATCTTCCTGGCCAGACTCCTCCTCACTATCCAGGTCCTGAAGAGGAGCTTTAAGGGTGATCTGCTCCTGGAACCTGAATGCATCAGAAATCAGGTTGAATCTTATGCATTTAGATTGAAAATGTCCCTGGCTTAGGAGGTCAAAACTCCAACTTTTGTAGGATAAAGACTGACTTTAGTGCCAGAACAACATGTTCTTGATCTATTCTGACTTTTTCCTGTCTCCATCTGCCTGATAAGGTTGTCCCAGAAATTCCAACTCTCTTCCTTGTCTTTGCAGCCATGTTGTGTTTTGTTCATATATTACAGATATTCAGTTTAAACAAAATGAATTCCTTCATCACAAATGTTTCATGCTGTTAATCATTACAGGGCATTTTCACTTTCATATAGTTTTATTCTATTTTTACATTCAAATGAATTTAAAATTTCCCTTTTTTATTTAAATAATGCAGTCACTATTGACTGCTTAGTTTATTTTCCACTGCTTCACTTAATCTAAAAATAGTATCACATATAGAATTCAATACAATTTGTGAATAAAGAAAAAGGGCTGACTGAAATGTAGACAAAACGTGGATTCATGATAAGAACATACCTTAGGCCAAGCATGGCATCGACATAGCTGGCGTGTCCGGCATCCACCAGCTCCTTGGCAACATAGACGCCTGCTGCTAGAATGTCCACTTTCCAGTGTATGTTTGAGACAAACTCTCTGAAGAGGATCTGAAGATTCTTCTGATACAAGCTCTGTTGGAAGAAAAGTGCTGCGTCGTCAGTCCACTGCCCATCCACTCCAACTGGTTTCACACCTCTCAGGACGCAGGGGTATGTCACCTTTGGGAGGTTCATCAGCTCCTCCGGAAGCCTCTTCAGCTTAGAGCGGTCTTTGTATGACAAGCATTCACAATGGCCATAATCCACCAGGTTTACGACGACTGTGGCGTCGGCATTTACAATTTCAGCCCTGCACCACTTGTTCTTGGAATCTGATTTCAACAGGCAGCAGGCACCAGGAATGAGGTGGGCTTCAGGAAGAGGAGACACCTGCCCAGGGAGGTCATCCAACATCATGGATACTTTGGTCATGATGAGAAGCAAGTCTTCAAGAACAACACAGAACTCAAAGGGAGTAGTCACTGCAGCAGCAAAGCCAAAGTACGCTTTGTCCGTATCAACTGGAGCAAAGGGAAGTTGCTGAAGAGAACTGGTGTCGGTATTGGGTTCTCCTACAGAGGCTTCATGTTGATGGTCCTGTGGCAAATTTGTGATTTGCTGAATCAAGAACAGTTCATTTTTAACTAGTTCAACCATCCAAAGCTTATCAGCTTCTGAATAATGCACAAACAAAAGCTTGACTTCTTTGCCTGTTAGTGATGCAAGAGTTTGATTCCACAATCGGTTAGCATCCATTGACTCACTGAATCCAAGACAGTTCAACTTGCACAACACTGCAAAGCTGGGAATCTCTGACAATTCACTACACTGTCGTCGGAAGGGGCCAATCAGAATATCTTCTGTTATTCCCTGATCCACAAATAGCACTTGGCATTCATCCTGTTCTACTTGCTGAACAAGAGCTCTGTGCCATTTGTTGTCTTCTTGAACTAAGCAGTGAAGGCCTTGTCTGATATCCTCTTTGGCCAACATCTCACACTTGTTTAGGTTGTCAGCTATGCAACTTTCCAGTCCAGAAAACAGATCACTGGTCCTAGCAAGGCGGATGTAAAATTCACAATTACTCTTGACGGACAGAATTGTACCGTTCTCCATGTCTTCAGCTTGAATAGTCAGAGCTGTAAAAACACCAGCAAGGTCTCTCACTGCTTTGGAAGGAAATTTTGAAGTTTTTCTCTGATTAATCTTCAGCACAGTCATGATTCTGGTTGGTATTGTTCTACAGCGCTTGCAGGTTCTTACCTTCATTTTGGTTGACAGTGTGACAGATGGTGGTTTCAGCATGATGTTTTTGCCTTGAACAGTAGGCATCATTTTTTTGGATTTAGTTTTTTCATTCTTGCACACCTTTGTTCTGCGGTAATTCTGGTCACAGGATATTGCTTTCTTCTCTGTTTCAGTTGAACTTGCAGGAGGCTCCTCTTCTTTTTTGTTTACAGGGCTACCTTCAGTTGCTTCAAGTGCTGGTGGAAAACCAACTTCACCACCAAGAATCTCAACCTTGACTTCCCACTGAGTTCCACAAACACGGACAAAGTCAACCATGAGAGGCTTCTCCACTACAGCATCAGTAAAAGAAGCATCATTTTCGTAAACACTCGTGTCCAAAAGGAAACATGATATGCTGAATCTTGGCACAGTGAGATAATCCTTCGGTATAGAGTAGATCTTGTCCTTCCCCACAGATGCTGAGTTTCCATAGTCAATGAACTCAACTTTGAAACGAGAACTTCCTTCACAGCCCTTCACTACACAACGGTACAGAGCCCCGTCCTCCTCGTACTCAGCTAGAACAATGTCACTGATTCTTAAAGATGTGGTTGCCTTCAAGGAATCTATGAAGACATCTGAATTGAGATCTTCACCCATTTTCAGGATGGCGGATTCATCGTCTGACAGCTGGAGGAAAAACCTTTTGACTGTGTCAATGTGGGAGACAAAACACTTTGCTCTGAAACCTGCACTCACTCTCTTTTCAGGCAAGCATGAGAACTGAGGCATGTCTGTCTGAGGTTGCTCTGACTTTGTGTTTATATCTTGGTACACTCTCTGTTTTACTTTTGGGTTTTTCTGAGGTTTTATAAGGACAGGGCTTTTTGTCTTGTCTTGATTTTGTCGTTCTGCTTGTGTGTTCTTGTTCGGAGCTTTCCAAGTAGCATACTTTCTATTTTCTTTCTTATTTCGGAATGCACTTCTAACTTGAGTACGTCGGTCAGGATTGCATATGGGAAACTTTGAAGAGTGCTCTTTGGGCTGGCTCTTCGAAGAAAGACTGAGAATGAGGTCCTTTACTTTCTGATTGATGTTAACATCCCCATCAAACAGCTCGACATCAAATGAACCATCTTCACTCTTTGCAACTATGACAGCTCTCACTTCCTTATTGAGGACTGCTCCAACAAGCCAGTCCTTGACACCTGCATAGAGCTCTTCCTTGGAAACTGAAGCAAGGCTACATCTCACTGCCTGCATGGGTGTGTACAACAAGTCAGCAGTGTCTCTGGGAATGAACATAACCTGGTTTTTCTCAGATATGTTTGTGTTTCCATAATCCACAAAAAACACTCTGAGATACAGAGGTGACTGAACAGGATGTGCCAAGCCCCTGTACCATTTGCCATCCAAATATTTTGCCAGGCACAGCTTCCTCACAACTGCTCTCGTACTGGTTTGCATCATTTTTTCACTCTCCTCTGAAATTTTCTTTTCGAGATCTTCGATGATTTTAGTGTTTCTCTCGAGCTGACAGTACACATCCCACTGACTGTTAACATGAGTGACAAAGACCTGCACTTCATTTCCAGGATTCAGATTATATGAAGAGTAGACAAAAGACTCTGGAAACACTGCTGACAGTGGCTTTGTTGAGACTGTCACTTCTCTTGCCAATCCCTGTTCCACAAGCTCACCTGCTATGCTTTGCTGGGTTTGGGTGTTATAGAGATCCACAACATTGCATAACCCTTTGTTTTTCACATTTAACTGAGACACAACTTTACATCGTAGAACCCTGGTGCTGTCAAAGACAAAGTCCTTTAGCAGCTTACGTGCCTCCTGACTCCAATCCCCACAGTTCTTGAGGTCAGCAGGTTCTATCAGGTTGTAAAGGCTACACCTGAAAGCTTGTCCTTCCAAAGAAAGATATTCTGGCATTATTGCCTGGAGATTGTTCTCCTTTATTTGGATGGTATAGCCATAGTCAACCAACAACACTCTGGCTATGCCATCCTGTATTTCTGTAATGAAAGCCCTATACCATTTTTCATCTAGTGGTGAATTGGCAACACAACATGAATCCCCTGACTGAAGGGGGACTGTGTGAGTTGTGTAATACTGCGCAACTCTATCCATTAGTTCCTCCAAAGCGGGGCCCTTATCAAGGGGACGGCACCAGAAATCTGATGGGGAGTCTATGTACGAGCAACACACTGCAAGGTCATGCCCAGGCTTGATGCTTAAAGCTTTGAAGCTAGCAGGGTTTGGAGACATCTCAGTATCATTTTTGCACTTGTTCTCTTTCTTGTCCCATTGTTCTTTATTCCCACTGATGTCTGTCACGCTGTAGCTTAGGCACCTTTGTTCTGTTCTCGCTGTGTTATTTGGCCTTACAGGCTCTATGGAAGTGTTCTTACAGTATTCAGCTTGTTTGGAGGAGATAAGAAGCTCAGTGATACTCTGATTGCTGTCACTTCCCACCTCATAGAGATCAATGATGATTTTGTTTATTCTCATGTCGACAACATGGACTAGCAGGTCTTTGTTTGACACGGCTCGTCTGAAAAAGTCAGAGGCGGTGCTAGTCCAAACATCATCCAAAGGAAGAACCTTAACAAGAGAACAGCAGATGGCAAATGCTGATTTGCTGGCAAATGCATCTGGTATCTTCTTAATCAACACATGTGGCACCTTCTCAATGTTCCCAAAATCAATAAAAAGAACTTCAGCTCCATGCTCAAGAGTGTGTGTCACTACACCCCTGTAGAAATTCATGTCTTCCTCATGAACTGCACAGCACAGTGTCCCGAGCTCAGGGTTCAACAGTACATCTTCCTCCAGTTTCACCTGTCTGAAGTGATCTGCTATTTCTGTCATCAATTCTTCAAACTCATCGTTGCGTTTTTGTGTTCTAATCCAGAAGTGGGTTGGATTCTCAACATACACAACATACCCCACAAAGACAGAATTGACCTCCACCTCTTCTGCTTTCAGTGTTTTATTCAGTTCTTCAGCCATGAATGTCTCATAGTATAAACAGCCACCCTGAGGTGAAAATTTTTCTGTCTTAAACACAGACTCACTCTTCACTCTGGGTTCCTGAAGTTCCTGATTGTGCTCTAGTTCCTTTATATGATCGTTCTCAGCACCGATAACTGTGATGGAGTACAGATGCTTTTCTTCATCAGAATTACTTATCTCCACATCTAACACTCCTCCAAGCAAGCCTGCCTTGAGGAAACTCAGCTGCTGAGTTTTGAATGCCTCATCTTGACCACTGAGGCAGGAGAGTGAGCATGGGAATGCCATGATTGGTGCTGAATAGAAATCAGGTGGCAACCTGTGGATGTTCTCAACTTTGACAAATTCAAAGAATCCATAGTCAATGAACAAAACTCTAACTTGAGAGTTGACTGGGAGAAATGGCACAAAGCCTCTGTACCATTTCTCATCTTTGTCTTTAACTGAGCACAGCAGACCAAGGTTTTCTGGTTCTGTCTTCTGACTGCGTTCTTTGGTTCTGTCCTCACAAACTGCAGCAAGCTTCTTTGACATTTCCAAAAGGTCTGTTTCCATACTGGCCATCTGACAGTAAAACAGCCCAGGGCTGACAGCAGCAGTTACTCGCACTTTAGTATGTGTCCCACAACTCAGTTTAGACCCACAGAATGACATGATTTTTTCATATTCCTGCAAACTGGATGGTTTGAAGCAAAACTCTTGACCCCTTGGTTTTTCAATGAGCAAGTCAGGAATGGGCTCCATGCTTTGTTTGAGCGGCACCTCTGTGAGCATCTCAACCATGAGAAGGAAGGTATCTGTGTCCACATGCCTCCCGAATCCATGTCTAACAAGATGACTGTTGATGTCAGGGGCTTCCAGCAAGAGGATTTTGTGGGGAAGGAAGGCCTGAATATAACCTGTAACACTGCTTCCAAGCAACCTTGAAAAATACTCCTCCACTAAAGAAAGAGAACACGACTGAAGCAACAGCACATTTGCTAGAAAGCCACAAACTATTTTTGGAGGGAGGATAAACAGGTCATTTGAACAGGAATATATGTGGGTGATGTCGACACTCAAGACATTTCCATGATCTATGAGGAAAACATCAAACATGTCCTCCTTTCTGTTCTGAACTCTTCCTCTATACCAGTGGCCTGAAGTCAAATCTTCTACAACACAAAACTCTCCGATATCCACTGCAGCCTTTGTCTTTGGTGTGCTCTGTATTTCTACCTGCAAGATGTTATAGTCCAGTTCACATATGGAAAGGTACTGTCCCTGGAAGTGTATCAGGGTTGCGTCGGGGTTCCAGTCCAAGTGAGTTATCTTGAGAGCCAATGGCCAAAGGGCGCATGGTGCTGGTGGACCTGAATCTTGAGACCTGCAAATTAAAGTGCCTTATATTATTAATGTTCATAAAGTGTTGAGTTGCTAGGTTTATGACTTCATTCATTTAAGCATTAGGAGCTGTCCATTGTACGACTGATGCGTAGAGCAAAATAAAGGCTGGGTCCTACTGTGTCCACAATAACTCCCTCTTTCACTACCCCTTATGTAACTGACATTCAAAAATGGAGCTGCTGTCAATGAACAGAAAGCTGTTAATTACTCTGATAATCGATGCACAGTTTTAGTCAATTTCCAAGCAAAAATGCCAAATGTTTGCTGGTTCCTGTTGCTCAAATGTGAGGACTTTATGCTTTGCTTCATCACATATGATTATACTGTATATTCAATATCTTTGGGTTTTGGACTGTTGTTTGAATAAACCAAACATTTGAATCTAAATTACAACTAGCAACTTTTCACTACTTACTTTACAGACCAATCAGTTGGTTAAATAATAATGAAAAAAATTGTTAGCCCAACTCCATCGTTTACCCTTTAGTGAGCAGTAAAGTGAGATTTCTGACACTAATGAATCATTATTTTGTGTCATCACAGATGTGCAGTTGCACATAAGTAGTTTTTTACAAGTATAAAATGTGCATTGTGAGATTTGGTACAAAGAACAAACTTTTTCTCCTTTGTTGTGGGAATTTATAAGGGCACTGTGTCATGCATATACAGTATTTCACATAAATTTGGACACTCAAATAAAGGTAGACAGGTAATATTGTGCACTATTTTAATAAAGAGGGAGTGCTCTGGACACAGCCCCAGTATGAACTCCATGGCCATTCCTTAAGTAAGGTCAAGTTCATTAGCAAGTATACTGAAAATATATGTTGTTGTATCTACGGTGCATTTATGAAAAATCCACAAAAGCATCTGATGCAACTTTAAACAGTTTAAAAGAGGAAATCAATTCAGATTTAGGTGGGAGGCCACAAACTCTGACTTGGACCCACACTTAATAACAGGAGGAGCACTGCGGGAGCACTACAGAATGACCTACAACTGATGTGCATGTTTCTGACCAAACTGTCAGAAACAGACTCCATGAGGGGTCATCCCCTGCTCACAGCCCAGCACCGTGCAGCTCAATTGGCATTTCCTAGAGAACACCAAAATTGGCAGGTCCACCATTGGTGCCCTGTTTTCTTCAGAGATAAGCGCAGGTTCACACTGAGTGCATGTGACAGGCATGAAAAAGAGTCTGGATTCATGTACCAGACTTATATTGCACTTAATTTTTAGTTGGAGGTTTGTTTAAAAAAAAATAGAGGAAAAGACAGAATAATACAGTTCTCAGAAAGGAAAAAAACCTGAATTGGCCCAGAAAGTTGCGATCGGTGCATCTCTACGTTTGCTTGGCAACCTGAGACTGTTTGGGCCTTTGCTTGTTAGTTCCTTTGAACATTATATCATTCAATTAAAAGAGTAAATGCCCAGAAAGCTTATTCAACTGAATCCTCATTTAAAAATTTGTAAAATATACAACTACAAAATTAAGAACATGCCACCATAACTTTACTTTTGTTACACTTACTTTTGATGATCACTGCTCAGCATTGACCTCATGGCAGCAGCATGAGTAAACCATCATATCCAAAAAAGAACCTGTGGGGGGGGCACAAAGAGATAATTAAAATAGCCCCCAATGTTGAGAGACATTCTTTTATTTGTGTACTCAGTTGTTAATGTGAAGTGTGCTGTTTCCACCACTGTGGGGCGTAGTTTTTGTGAGCGCGCGCACCCATTTTGTTATTAGCGGGAAGGTCTGAGTTCAGTTGGGGTCGTCACACTTGAGGAGTGTAGACGCGTGTTATCCTTTGTTCCAATAAAATATGTTAAGAGAGCTAAAAGATATTATTGCCTCCGTCAAATTTCTTCCCGAGTTCAACGCTGGTGAAGCTGCAAAGCTCAACACCCAAAATAAAGGCCAAACTCACAAACACAAACTATCAGAGAAAAGCAATAAAATCTTTACAAATAAACTTATGCTTGATTTGACCTTCTACTGACAACAGCCACTTTGTCTCCAATCAAATACACCTTAATAAATACATTTAAAATGTTTATGTAACATAGCAACAGTAGGGATAAATCTTTACCGCCCATTAAGAAAATGTAATGACGTTAGCATTACAGATTTGACTGATATTAGATAATAATGTTCTGCTACACCACGTCCAAAGCTTAGAGGTATTACAAGATCATGTGATTCTAGCAATCAAGCTAACGCGAGTTTGGGTCTTTTTACTGAGCCAAAACGAAGTTGTAGAACCTTTGCTGTTGCTCTATATTCACGGGTACAAGAGGACGTGAGATGCAACTAAATGTAACACAACCGGGTTTAAGTTGTTAAGACTAACACTGCTAGCTGTACTAACCTTAGGAGAGGCTAGCTTCATAGGTCGGTCCAACGTCGGATTGGAGCTGAAATTAACCCTCATTAAGACCGGTTAGCTGTTAGCATCTTCTTGAGCAGAGTTAACTAGCTCATGACCGTACCCCAGCTGTTTTCCTATGTTTCGCACCGCCTCATGTCGAGATGCTACAACACCTGTCTGACCTCATTTCCTGCTCCAAGGTCACAGACGTCCGTGCACGTTGTTAAACTTTCCAAAAATAAAGCTAATAATTGGCAGTTTACTTGGAAATGATCTAAAGCTAGAAAGACAAATTAATACCACGTTTTACAGTAATTTACATTTCAAGCTGGCAGTGTTACACTGACAGTTGGTGTTATTATTTGTGACAATTTGGTGCTTTGTTCTGTTGAAATGTGTGTTTTTTTTGGCAGTACCTGCATTTACTCAACCATTTGGGGGTATTTGTACTTTACTTGAGTATTTACGTTTTCTGCTATTTCTTCAGTACATTTCAAAGGCAAATACTACACTACATCTATTTGATAACTATAGCTACTAATTCTGATTAATAATACAGAATACAGTATAATCATAAGAATGTATTAATCCCTCATGGGAAATTTACAAGCTGTATTTAAAATACTTCACATTTGAAGTATAACAGTTAAAATTAGCTCCACCTTTACCAGCTGCAACATTAAACTGATAAACACAATAATATGAAATGTGCCACTGAGTGTTTTTAATGTTGGTACTTCAAGTATATTTGACTACTAATGCTTTTGTACTTGTACTTGAGTCAAATTTTGAATACAAGAGTTCTCCTTTTTACACTGGTATTTCTACTTCTGCTGAAGTAAAGATCTGATCTGAGTACTTCTAGATTCATATACAGGTACTGTAAATAAAGTGAAAGCAAACTAGAGAAATTTGGTGTTAAATCCCTTTAGGTTTGAATATATACAGGTTTGTATAACGGGCCATATACTGTGGGAGGCAGGATGGATGGATGGACAGATGGATGAGGGTTTTTCTGTTAATCATTAATAACTTGGATTAGCCCCAGTCTTCTGTAAATATGACGAATGCATCCGCGGCTTCATTAGCTCTGCCTTCCCTCAGCACTGCTTTATTAGTCTGAGGTGGCTCCATCAGGGTTTTCATTTTTGCTTGTGGTTGTATAAATTAAACTGCTGGATATGGTGTTGGTGATGTTTTCCATCTTTTCCTGGACTTGTGTGAAGGAGGGATTGACAAACAGTGTTTAAGGATCCATGTGTGCGCAGAGCTGGCTCCTAGACTTTAAGGACAGATGAGCTGCAGTGGCCTGTTTTCTCACATCAGACTGACTTCTCTTTTCTTAATTTTTTTTGCTTTGAGTTTGTTTGATTTTTAAAGTTCAACATCACTGAGGTCACTATGCCGATGAAACGAGGCAGCGAGAGTTCAGGCAGAGATGGAGTGTTCCTTATTCACTCTTTAAGCAAGACTTTGTGCAGTTCACCAGAGGAACTACATACAGAGTTTAATGGACAGACACATTTTCTTCAGGAGGATGATTCTGGGGTGAAATCAGGTAACGAAGCAACCACACTGTGATCTTATTAATATTAGGAATTCAGACTTTATTGTTTCATTTTACATTCTCTCTTTTATTTTCTCCTGTTTTTCCTCTAAAGTTCTTCTCTTAAAGTCTTTAAGTCTGAGTGTTTTTCTGTGGATAGGTTTCAAACATGCTCAGGTAAAACAGGCACTGATTGGCCACAAGGTGGTGTTTTAAACAACAGGCTTCAGATGACATTTATTTTCTTCACAAAGTTTTTGCCCACCAAATAAACAAACCTAATGACAAACAGCTTTACATTTAGACACGAATTTGTATCTACAACTAGAATTATTTATTTTTTTGGTTTGTGTTTTCACTTTTAAGCGTGCTGCTTATCATGCAAAATTGAAAACCCTACACAACCCAAATATGAAATTTTGACAGATACATGAAACAGAAGGCAACAAAAGGCTATACAATATCTCACATAAACTGTATTTAGGATGAATCCAAGGAGCATCACCCTGATCACAAAGGGGCCATTTGTCAAAGACCAGTATCAGCAGCTTTTCACCAAAATGCTGAGACACGTCATTTGTTCCAAAGGCTTGGCTCCACTTGTGTTAATTATTAGCCGTGTCAGGTTGTTCACTGCATTCTTGTGCCTACAGTTACCTTTATTTTATTTCTATTTTAATCCACTCTCCTTCAGTGCTAAACATATTAGATGTTAACGTGTTTGGAAATTTCTTCACAAATCTTTGGTAAAATAATGTTGTGCTGCTCTGATGTACACACAAGTGCACATTTACTGAGGTGCTAAATCCCTGTACTGCCCATGTAAACCCATATTTTCTGCTCAAGAACATCTTAAACAGTAACATCATCTGATGGATATAGCACAGGCTTGTGAGTGTGTGAAGTAGCTTTTTGCTTTTCCAACCTTTCACATGCAGTTTTCCATGTTTTCATATTAGTAGTTTAAGTCTGCTAAAAGTATCTTGACTATACATAATATAACCTTGTTCTGATTCTAATTGAAGCTAGTGTTTAGACATTGAAACATTCAACATTCTAAATGTCTTATCCTTCATTATGCACATTCCCCCTAGATACAGCTGGGCATATTTGGTTTCAGTAAAAACCTTCAACTGGAATTTCAAGTGTGTGGGTTTGAACACTGTTTAGCTGCATAACATGAGTTTGTAATGACTGACTTACTGTGGTTTAAGGGCCTGAGCGTACAACTTAACTATTCTAGTAATAGCATAGATATGTGGAGTGTCCTTTGTTCTAGTTTTGCAGGGAGAGACATTTTCTTTAAAAAAAAAAAAATTGCCAATTTTTTGAGACCAAAAAGCAGTTAAAACATCCTCTCTGGGCACAATGACAAGTCAAAATTGAGTTTCATTACATGTCTCTAAATAGCCGTCCTGCTCCTCAGGAAATAATGGTCCATTATATGATTCTTTTTAACATCCATCCATCCATCCATCCATCCATTTTCCTCCGCTTATCCGGGACCGGGTCGCGGGGGCAGCAGTCTAAGCAAAGATGCCCAGACTTCCCTCTCTCCAGACACTTCCTCCAGCTCCTCCGGGGGAATGCCGCGGCGTTCCCAGGCCAGCCGAGAGACATAGTCCCTCCAGCGTGTCCTGGGTCTTCCCCGGGGCCTCCTCCCGGTGGGACATGCCTGGAACACCTCCCTAGGAAGGCGCCCAGGAGGCATCCGAAAGAGATGCCTGAGCCACCTCAGCTGGCTCCTCTCGATGTGGAGGAGCAGCGGTTCTACTCTGAGCTCCTCCCGGGTGACCGAGCTCCTCACCCTATCTCTAAGGGTGCGCCCGGCC